GGAGGAGGCAGGCTGAGGCTGAGGCTGTGACTGCGACTGCCGTTGCCGCTGCGACTGTCATCGCGAATGCGACTACGACTGCGAGAACAGCAGAATTCGACAACTGGATTTTCATATGAATCTTAAGGGGAATGCTTTCAGATATGCTTCTACACATCGCTGTTAGGTTGCTTTGCCGGGATAATTTTTTTTGTGTGTCCCAGGGCCCCTTCAAGGTTGTCCATCCCCTGACCTTCCAGGAGGGCTTCAGGAGGTGAAAAAACAATTAATCGTCGATGCCTTAGGAAGGCTTCAGGAGGGGAAAACACACACAGACACAATTGATCGTCGGTCCCCGGGGAAAAATGGGAAAAGATGGGGAATCCTGTTATTTGTGTGTATTTATTTAATCGCTTCGCTCATTCCGCCGGCCCTCGAGCGCTCTATGGGGCCTCTTTGAAGCCTCTTGGGGGCCTCTTTGGGGCCTCCTAGGGGCCTCTTGGGGGCCTCTTGGGGGCCTCTTGGGGCTCCTTGGCGGCGTCTTGGGGCCCCCTTGGGCCTCTTGGGGGGCTCTTGGGGAATCCTGTTATGTTTGTGTGTGTGTGTGTGTGTATTGATTTGTGTGCCCCAGGGCCCCTTCAAGGTTGCCCACCCTCATCATGCGGGTGGATCGGCGGCGAGCCCGGGGGCAGCGAGAACGGGCGGCCCGGGGCCCAGGAGAGGCGGGGTTGGACAGACCTCCTACCCTGACACGTCGATTAAGGAATTGGCCGTTTTCGGTTCGCGAGAGGCATCCCCGAGGCTGCAGAGAGCCGCAGAGGAGCGGCGAGGCCGCTCAGAAACCTTAGACCCTCGAGCCTCGAATCCTCGGTCCTCCCTTCAACTTATCGGGGGGGGGGCAGACCTCCTACCCTGACACGTGGATTCGCGGATCGGCCGTTGTCGGTTCGCGAGAGGGCGTCGCGGCCGTCATTTTTGCGGGTCCAGGTCCGTCGGTTTCGGCCCCAGGCCGTTTCCACTAAGGGGAGGCTTACTAAAGGGAGGTTTGTCCGCCGCCGAGAGTGACGGGGGTCAGATGCCAGCGGGGGTCCGTCGGAGCGCGGGATCCTGCAGGATCCTGCAGAGCCAGGGCTAAGTCGGGCCTGCCCCTCTACAGGGGGGATATTGAAAAATAGTCAAAAATAGTCCGGGGACGTTTTTGGGGGGAGCATTTTTTGCCCATTTTGGGTTACTTATTCATTTATTATTTATTTGTTATTTTTCGTCCGGAATCCCCCTGTAGGGGGATAGGCCCGACTTAAAGCTGCGGCTTGGGCGCAGGGTCCTGCAGGATCCTGCAAGATTCTGCGGGCTCCTGCCAAGCCTGACTGACCCTGGTCTGGAGCGGCCCACCGGGTCAGTATAGGTCCCCGAGGTGGGCCCTCTCAGAAGGTTCGGAAGTCCCCCCCCCCGACCCCCCGAGCAGTTGTTGAAGCCTTCCCCGAAGACACTGGAAACTTCTCCGAAGGCCGGGGTGGGCTTCTTTACCAGCCTCGAGCGTATCCCTACCCCTAAGATTGACACGCCAAGAGTGACGCGCCAAAAGGCGATGGCACTCTTAGGGATTCGCCCTCAAAAGATAAGGGAATCCCTGGGATTGGCATCGTGATGAGGAGGTGCCCAGCATAGGGATAGGGATATGTTCCAGGCTGGTCACTTCTGAGAGGCCCCGCCGCCTTCTGAGAAGGCCTTCTCCTTCTCCCTCTCCCCCGGGCCCGCCCCCGAAGAGAGGGAGGGAGGGAGAGAGCGAGAGGGAGTGATAGCAATCAGGGGACCAGACGATGATCAGGAGGGAGAAAAAATACACACAGACACAATGAATCGCCGACTCCCCAGAAAATATGGGAAGATCTGGGAACTGGGCGGGAAGACAAACACCTAGAAAATATAGAAACATATGGGGAATCCTTTTATTCGTGTGTGATTTATTTGTGTGTCCTTGGGCCCCTTGAGATGACACAAACATGCAAAGTCGGAAATCCGCGCGGATGTCTTGAATCGGCGCCGGACCCCCGATCCTTGGCGCACAGAGCGCGCCAGGGGCGGCGCCAAATGCGCCGCCAGGGGTGCCCAGCGCAGATGCGAAGAATCCGCGCGGACCCCCGACAGGTCATGTTCGAGAGCGAGAGAGAGATAGAGAGAGAGAGAGAAAAACAAAACAACAAACAAACACATAAACAACACTGCGATGAGCTTCCCAGATGTGCATCGATTAACATGGACCTGTCCGCCGTGGGCGTCTGGGCGCAAGAGGTTTCGAATATACACGGGCTGGGGTATTGACGATCTGGGAGTGAATCGTTATGATTGTGAATGACTTGAAGTGCAAATCCGTCTCAGCAGTATTGGTGCGTCTCTGCGCATGAGCCTGAGGCCTTCTGGGGCCTCTTGAAACCTCCTGGGGCTTCTTGGGGCCTCCCGGAGCCTCTTGGGGCCTCCTAGGGCCTCGTGGCTTCCTGTGGCCTCCTGATGCCTCCTGGGGCCTCGCGTGGCCTCCTGGGGCCTCCAGGGGCATCATGGAGCCTCCTGGGGCCTCTTGGGGAGCATTCGTGCCCCAGGAGAGGCCCAATCTATAGGCGAGAGAGAGAGAGGGAGAGAGAAGGAACAAAAACAACAAAAAGGGAGCGAGAGAGAGAGAGAGAGGTCTCCTTCTGCGGCCAGGGACTTCTGCTCGGCGTGTCGCGGCGGCGGCCGCGTGGACGCGATGTGTTTCCAGCAGGCGGGTCCCGAGGGAGACGGGCCCCGAAGCCTCTCCGCCGCTGTGGTGGACCCCCGGAAGGCCCTCCGTGGGCCTTCTCCGGGACCTCATTGGACGACGGTTCGGGGCGAGGAGCTCCTCCTCCTCCTCCTCCTCCTCCTCCTCCTCCTCCCTCCTCCTCCCTCCTCCTCCTCCTCCTCCTCCTCCTCCTCCTCCTCCTCCTCCTCCTCCTCCCTCCTCCTCCTAATCCT